AACCAAAACTAAACGGAAGTAATCATTGCCAATTTTCTTTGCCCTAAAAGCCACCCGCCTGCCCTAATTTAACTGCCACATTTAATATCCGTCTGCCAGGAGGTGGCAAGTGAAGATAGAGTGATGGGAGCTGATTAGTAAGGCCGTTTGACGGGGATGGATTAAAGTTTGGCAGATTAGGAGCGCAAGGACATCGATGTCCGTGGTATTATTCACATACGTAACCTGCAATGTTTGATTTTTCCTCAAAGTACTGCCTCCATTCGTTTTTCCTTATCTCTCTGTTTTTGTATTGATTTACTTCTACCCACGTACTTGTCCAGTACAAACAAAAGCCTGATCTTCTATATTGCCTTTGATTAGTCAGGGGAACAGGATGCCTTTATTTTTTATTCATGCACGCACACCATGCAGACATGCCTGTCAGGAGCCGGCATATGTGAACATTCAAAGTTTGATTTTGTATTCCTCCGACTCGGTCCTAAATCAGACCTCATTTACCTACACGAGCCTCTGATTAGTAAGATTTACCTCATTGACCCAGTTACAAGGAATCAGGGCTGTATGTTAGCATTGCCACTGACATAAACATCGAAGATTCACAAACGTGCAACCAGACCTCGACAGATCTAAGTAACAGAGCTGCATGCTGAACATGGAACAACCTGATCTAAAAGCAGAGATAAAACATTTGTCTTTAGGCTGGCACAGTATGTATTTGTAGGCTGTTGGTCCCACTGCTTCTGTTTGACACTTATTACAATTTTGATGTTTTTCTTCACATGTATACAGTTTTGTCTCATAGTTAAAGGGCCATGGTCTGTTTTCCTGTCTCAGCAGCAGCACCTTGTTGTTCAAGATCAAAGAAGAAGACTTGCAATAAGACAAGAAAGATTTTCTTGAATCTTGAATCGTTGAATCTTCTGATGTTTTTTTGACTGTTACTCAAAGGTCAGACTGTGTAATACTGAGAGAAACCTCAAAAAGCCCCAAAATTACATCTCAGACTTTGCTATAATGCATAGCACCACATATGGAGAAAACCAAACACAGCATATGAGCACAAATACCTCACACCAACTGTCAGCATGGTGTTGGAGAGGTAATAAACTTGACTTTAGTCACAGGACCTGACAGCTTGCAGTCACTGAGTTGACCGTTTGTGTAAAAAAGTATTCTAGAGTCAAATGTGAGGCCATCTGTCTAACAGTTAAAGCTTAGCTGAAACTGGGTCATGCAACAGGACAACGATCCCAAGCACACCTGCAAATCTCCAGCAGGATGCCTGAAAAAAACTGTTGCAATGCTCCAGTTAAAATCCAGAGCTCAACCTGACTGAACTGAGGCATCTTTGTAAAGAGTGCATTCAAACTCCTCCGCAATGACGTCATTAAGAAACATTCAGTTCAATTCAATTCAATAAAACTTTATCGATCCTGAAGGTTGACCCCGAAGGAAATTGGGTTAAGGCTGCCGACCTTTGCCAGCACCGTCTTACCCTTCCGACCATACATACATTACACAGCATCACGTGGGGTAGACAGGTCAGAGAGGTATAACCATAACATATGACTTCAAATATTAGTGAATCAAGGTGTGACGCTGCAGTCCTGTGGAAATGTTCCTTTTCACGTGACTGTCTGTGTTTTTTTCCTCCTTAAACCTCAACAATTCAGATGGTTTCAGACAAAGTGAAGTGTGCACTGTATATATTTCACAGATGTGTGGGACAATGTTATCAAATGGATGAGAACTGCATCCATAACAAAGCCACCACTGGTTTGTTACTGTTGCACTTTCATTCTTATCTCTTTGTATTTCGACTCAGGTGCACACACATAGACATCTATTTGCATAAGCGCAAACACAATCAGTCTAATTCTGTTTTTCGTATTTGACTGTTTTTTGTTCTGTTAACTGAAAGTTGAGATGTTTTTGTAAAAGACTATTTTAATGGAATTGGTGAAACAAAAAGTAAACACTAAGAGGGGGAAATTATTCATATTAGACAATCAGAAAATGGTCTTCCTTCTTGTTTTGCATGTGTGCTGGTCCCCGAGCTTGTGTGCACACTTTTCCCATCTTCCCATGGCTCATAAAATGGGTTGTATTCCATCAAAGGCAGCTCGCACAACAAGCTTATTCCCTAATTGGTGCTTGAGCTTTTAAATTGCCTGTGTTTGCTCACTTCCAAGCAGTCCCCAAAATGCTAATGTGAAAAATTCAGCCTTTTAAAGAACAAAAATATTGTCAAAGTTCTGCATTAAGCATGTCTCCCTCTCTCACTGCTTTCCTATTTCCTTTGCAAGCAGATAACCCACTCTGTCTGAGAGGAAATAACATTTAATGGGGAGTAATTGATTCATATATTTGCATAATACAGAAATTTCATTCAATAAACTTTTGCTATAATCTGCTGGATGTGTATTTTTCTCATTTACACAAATAAAACTCTATTACAATCTTAATCATAGTCAGTGGCAGCTCTCGAGTCTGTTGGAGACCCAGGCAAACAAAATCACAGAGGGCCAGCATTCGTCACCAGTGTTGGTCAAGTTACTTGAAGGTAATCAGTAACTAATTACTGATTACTTCCCCAAAAAGTATTCCTGTTACTTTAATGATTAATTATTTTCAAAAGTAATTAATTACTTAGTTACTTAGTTACTTTTTAAAAACACGATTTACAACCTGAAGAGGTGATAAAGTGATAGATCTTTCAGCCCAATTCTACTTTTTCTGCATAATCCATCATACAAAAAGTAATCAGATGGAAAAGTCTCTTTTTAAAACTTGTTTTATCAGTTTTAATCTTTTAACTTTATGCATCAAACAAAAATTTAATTATCTGCAACATTCTCTGACTGGAAGAAATTAGTTTAACATTTAAACCTATTTTCTGCACATTCCAGCTCATAAAATAAAATATATTTTTTTGTGTGTTTACACTCAGTCTTTCAAATAGATGCAAGTAAAACACAGCAGAAAATAAATAAAGTCAAAGACTCAGCGGTCCTGTTGCTCTATTTTCACCTGTAAAGCAGGAGCAGGGAAGGCGGAGGGTTACCCTGGTGCAGGTGTGCCGCGGTCAGTGGAAGAATCCGCGAGTTTCTCTGTGAGTTTCCCATTACGTCATAGCTACTCGGTGCTTGTTGGAAGTTTAGGGGTTTTTTTCGCTGTAAAAAGAAGTTTTCTTCCCACCCACAGCGGACACTAATGTTTTTGTCACTTTTTATGGAATCAAACTCAAAGTAAGATCAGTACTTCCACGCTTTAAACGCTGCAGCTGATACTCTCTCCTGCACTTTGTTGATCTGCACACAGCTGTTGTCACGAACACTCGACATTCTTGCAAAAAATCACGGTTTTAGTAACGCAGTAACGCAGCGTTCCTACGGGAAAGTAACGGTAATCTAATTACCGTTTTCACAATAGTAATCCCTTACTTTACTCGTTACTTGAAAAAAGTAATCGGATTACAGTAACACGTACTGCCCATCTCTGTTCGTCGCAACGTTATAAATTTATGTCATAAATAATCTCATGCCAAAAAATAAATAAAAAGCAGTTGCATAAAACAGGTAAAACATTCATCCTGAGCCCAAGTTTATGTCAGTAACTGTGCCCTACTGTTAGTTGACTGCCACTGTCCCAAAGTGACTCTTGGCCGTGCACATTAACACGGTCACGTCACAGACAGCAGAGCTGGCCACAGTGGGCTGCTCTGTTAGCCAAGTTAACTAATGTTACACACCAAGGTACACAAAAGGAGGAAGGACTTCCATTTGGACATGAAATTTGTTGTTCTGCTTAAAAGGAGTAAAAGCAATGTGGCTTCTAAGGTTGACAAATCACGTTTTTGTCATGATTCTTTCAGTAAATTTCCCAGAAAGACCATCTGGCCTAAAGCAGCATCTCTACTGGACTTAACTCAGCTTCATTATCTTGCATTATTCACTTTAGGAGATCTGTACTAGTTCTCGGGTCAGTGTTTCAATCTGAACTCTGGGGTCAGGGTGGATGCTGTCTATTTGTCTCTAAGGTTTGTGTCTCATTTCAAAAGAATGACAACAAAATGTTAGAAGGAATCCAGAAGCCTAGGTGGAAATATAAATCTTTGATCAGGTGAAATAAATATGATTTTTAGATTTTCCCTCAATTATTCCATATTATCATTTGATGCTGGGATGCTCTTTAAACTCTTATTTACATAATGATGTTGTGTCCTCCTTTGCTGGGAACCAGCTGGAGAATTAGGTCCACCGGCTTTTCATCTCACTGTATCCAAATTCTAAAATAATGTCGTAAAGTCTCCATCTGTAGATAGATAGAAACGCAGTATAAAAAGTAAGGAAATGTGTGTTTGGTTGATTATTTCTTTGTTATAAAAATGCTTCTGGGCAATAAATCTTATACCGTTGGAAAGCCTGTTGACTTCACCTTTAATGATGCTACAATTGTGGGTTGAGCAGCAAAGTTCAGCCCAAAGATAAAGATATCTGATGATAATGATGCATTTTTCTCCAATGCCACAGACTAAGTAGGGAAATTAAGTCAATAATAGTCACATTATTACAACACGTCATCCTTTGATATAACCGTACTTGCTATGAAACATAAAACTCTTGTAGCTGCATTTGTAGCTCAAATATTTACACTGCTGCTCATGCATTGTGCATGTGATGCAGAAAGACTACAGCCTCTCTAGAAGGGCGGTATGGGAATGTGGGAACGCATTACTGCTTTGTGCCTTTGCCTGCTGCCGCAGAAGAAAAAAAAATCTCCCAGTTCAGCTTTTTTCATTCCCTTAATCCCTAATCTCATTACCGTAAACATGTGACATCACCATCTCTGTATCTTATGCACACGGCTATTTTTAATAATATTATGAATAAAAGTTCTTTGGAATGACTTTTGTGGGTTTTTTGATTTGATTTTAGCAAGCTCTGGAGAAACGACAGTTAATTAGTGACACAGTTCCCTTCTTTCTGTATATTCAGGTAACTCACCTTCAGAGGAGTCCGAGGAGCGCGACAAGGAGCGCGACAAGGAGCCCCGGACGCTGACCTACCCTGCGTACATTGCCAGTCTGCTGGACAGTGGAGCAAAGCGCATGGCAGCCGGAGTCCGCATGGACTGCAGCAGCCAAGGCCAGTGCCCACGGTCCTGCCACCTCTGCCACATGAGCCCAAGGGCAGCACAAGGGCGGCAGCAGTCTGAGCCGGTGCTGCTGCAGATTACCAAGGCTACACCTATTTATGAGCTGGTATCCAACAATGAGACCTACCAGGTGTGTACAGTGTTTTGGGTGTTTGGTCTTTAATATTTAAACTACACAAATTTATTCTTCACACCCTCTAAATTGAAGGCGGTGCCTTCTTGAAATCCATTCCCTGTGCAGCATCGAAGAACACATTTATTATGCAGTGTCCTTGTGATCCTAAAGGCTTCATTAGGAAACAGGTTATGGAAACAGAAATCCTCAGAAAGAAGCATTTCCCTTCCAGGATGTCACGCCTTTCTTTGCTTGAAGCATCCTGTGCCATAAACTGCCTTATTGCGCTGTGCCTTATTTGACTCCATCAATACTGTACATCAATAGTGCTTCTACTGCTCCAGCAGGGTCAATACAGTGCTACTCCTGCAGTGTCAGGCCTTTATCCTTAAGCTCAGTCAGACAGCTGCTGTTATTGAAAGAGTCTGCTTAGAGTCTGCTACAGCTTGACTGTGCAGGTATGTGTGCAGAAAAGTTCAATTGTAAAAGTACTTTTTAACTCTTCCCTGTAGTTACCAATATTGCCTTTACTCTAGTGCTATGCAATATTGCAGATTTTGGTATTGATCCAATATCAAGTAAATACTGGGCCGGTATTGCCAATACTTTTAACCTATAAAGGCTGCTTATGTAGGGGAGAGCAGTGTGTGAGATAATGAGTTAACAAAACATACCTCTCAGCTTAAAACTGGGTTTTTTTGTGACCTGTATAATAAATATTCCCGTCTCTGCAGGACTTCAGGTCAGCTTCTGTTGTTCACATACCCTGATGCTATAAATAATATGGACGTGACAATCAACACAAAAAGATTCAGACGTTTTTCATAGTGCATGGTTGAGATGCTTTTTTTTAATTACCAAAAAATGATTAACACATGCTGAACGTGCAGAATGAAAAGAATTCTATTGTGCTAGTATTAATCTGACACCATTAAGAGCATTGCACCAATATTTAGATCTACCCACCTCCACCATTTTTTCTCTGAAAGTTTTATGAGCCTTTCAGGTTTTCCACATTTTCTACAGCATTCTGGTAACGTGCGTAATACCAGCTTTTTATGTAATGTTAAAATGTGAAACATTGTCCCTGCCTGGGTTCTATATCCCCAACACTGTGAGACGTCTGGAGGTCTCTCAGTGGGATGTTTCATTAAGTAGTAGCCGCTTCAGTCCACCGTTCCTAAAAGCACAAAGTTCTGTGTCCATGTTATCCTCCTGTAAGGTTCCTCCTCACCAGTGAACACTGGCTTCTTGATTTCCTGTCTGACCGAAGCCTGTTTGTCTCTGATTGTTCATGTTTGACTTTGCGCCCCCATGAAGAGTGTTGGGGCTTTGAACCTTGTGTCTCACTGAATATTGACAGCTCTGTCAGCCACATGGATCGGTTTGCACTCTCTCATTTATTGTGGCACATTATATAAACAGGTGCTTGCTTTTCCTAATGTCCAGTGAATTCAGTTCATCACAGAGGGACATGATTGTAGGGGAGGAAATTAATAAAACACTCTTAAGTTCTGTTTCTGATCGTGCGGATTTGTCTGCCGATTGGTGTGGGGGGGGGATAGCAGAATTTTTTCTTAAGAGGAGTGTGGAAAATTTAAAAACGAATCACTTTGACCTGATCTGAATGTTGAATAAACGCAGGTTCAAAATTCTTATTTCACTGTTTTTGGTGCCTTAGAGGTGGAGGGATAAATTGAGGTTCCGCTGAGAGTACTCTGGATAGCTCTCTCTCTTTGTCAGCCTATAAACCAGAAAATACTGTCAACAATCACAAAAAGTTTTCTGTAACTCGGGCTGTGAATGATATACAAACCACCCCCTCAGAATGCAGACAGAATAAAAGTGAAAAACTGTGCGTTACTGAAGTAGAAACAGGCGCATCGAACTGAAAAGTCTTTAAATTTATGTAGAACAAAATGTTGCATGTTTATTGGGATCTAATAGATATAACCGTGGAACTTCCCCTTCCTGATTACTTTTTTACGCAGTGTTTTATGTTTTTTTTTTTTACATGTTTTTATGTTTTACCTCATTAGACAAACACCAATTTGCAATAATTTGCAATGTCCAGTGGAGAAAGTGTAGTAAATGAAATAACTTAATGCATATTTGATACATTTTCTTGTATTGGTTAAAGACACCCACTTAGGTAATCAAATTTGCCTACAAATTGACCATTGCATGGAAAAAGAAACACACAGGGGTTTTTAACTTACAGTTCCTGGTATAAAAATCGTGAAGTAGAAAAGTTTATGTGAGAAAACAGCTGTAAAAATACAGGTGTTCATGTGTGTTTATCTCTGCCCTCTCGCTGTTTCTTATCGTAGGCTCTTCAGGAGGCAATGATGAGCATGCTGTGGTGCTCAGGCAAAGGCGATGTTATCGATGACTGGTGTCGATGTGATTCCAGCGCTTTTGGCACAGACGGACTGCCCACCTGCGCCCCGCTTCCTCAGCCCATGTTAGTAAAACCTGTATTCTTCCCCTTACATGGATTGTGGTAAATACAATCAATTGTTTCACAGGCAGAAATTGTTCTCCTGCTTCAGCGGATTTGTGTGCATGCAGTGTTTTATTGCAACATTCCTGTGGTCAGCGCGTTTGTTCTCCGGCTCGGTTTGGGTGCTCTAATCAATCCGCTGAGCTGCCATTCATCGATTTCTTGGCATAAAACTTGTGTGCACAATGTTTTCAGTGACATAACTACAGAAGAGAGCAGCAGAGTCAGTCAGACATTAGCGGATAAATGACTATATTTTCTGTTGACAGAGGTGTTTGTGACAGTGCAGAACATGTTTTCAGTTGGATTGCAGTTGACAGAACAAGAAGGATAATGTTAGCTGTCAATTACAGTAATGAGGCCAGTGTGCTGAAAACATCTTTCAGTAAGTGGTGCGCTTGTATATCTCTGTCATTCTGTTGCCAGGCTTAAACTGTCTTACGCCTACGAACCCAGCAGCTCATTGGTCATCATGGAGTGGAACCACACGGAGCCCCCAATCGGTGTGAGGATTGTTGATTACCTCATCAGCCAGGAGAAGGTGACAGAGAGAACCGACCACTCTAAAGTTGAGACAGGTGCGTCAGTCGAACACAACATATGTCAAGAGTTTGACCATGAATGGCAAAGCCTGCGAGATGGGAAATTGCACAACGTGCTGTGGTGCTAGTTAGCAAACACCTTTAGGTAACATGAATCACATTCATCCTAATAGTCCCTGCTTTACTTTTATAGATACAACGGTTTACAGGTGAACTAATAGTACACTGCAGTGAAAATGTATTTGGCACCTTCCTGAAAGTTAACCTGAGTAAATACAAAATGCAGTATTTAAATGAGGATTTGCCTTTTGCTAAATCATGAATTAATATTTTTTGGAAAGCTGAATTTATCGTCACTTGCCGAACCCAGGCCAGTAGAATCAAGGACGAAATGACAAACTGAAGTAAACTAAAAGAATCCAAAAACCACCAGATCACCACAGTCTAAAGCAGTGGTTCTCAAACTTGTCACATCGTTCCCCACATGGCAGGAAGAAGTATTTTCACGCCCCATCTAAAGGAAACAACGACAGTAAAGCCGAGCTGCAACTTTCTTTAGATAATAAACTAATTCACAATGAATCCTTCAGTAATTTTTGTTTAAAACAAACAACTTTCATTTCAAACAACTATTTGTGACTTTTGTTACTAGACTGCTGCATTAGTCTGCACCACCTCTTCAAAAAAAGCAACAAGTTAAACAGAATGTGAACATTATAAAGTTCTGTCTTAGTCTTATTTAAAAAAAAAAAGAAATCCAGAAACTTGTGAACAGAGATGAAAAATAAATAATTTAGTGAGAGTTTAATGCGTTTCACTCTTAGTGGCTGCAGTCAGCCTAGTTTGACTGCGGCGCGGCGACGGGGGATTTGGACGGACCTGAGCGGCATCCGCAATCATGCCAAAGTAGGTATCCCCGACAGAATTTGTTTCCTTGCGCCGGGAGCATTCGCCGGGCAGGCAGAGCGGGTCCAGTTGGCGCCGCCTCCATTGCAACCAGCTAGACGTGGAAGTAATGAACTGTTTTAGTGAAAACGTGAAAAATGAATGTTACTGTTACTAATTACTGTTCAGTTTGTGGGTGACAACAGAAAATGATACATTTATTGTTCTCACGTGTTATTGGACAGGATTATTTCAATAAAGCAAGGAGATTTTGACTGATAATTATTTGTATTCTTCTGTAACTGTACAGAGCTAAAACCTCCAAAATGTCAGGAGTAGTGGGTCATTATAAGAAGTGTTTGTGAACTAAAAATCACGAATGTGGGATGTTGTTTGTCTGTGGCTTGGACAGCCCAGTGTTTGCTCCCGACGCAGGGGAAACAAATTCCGTCGGGGGTACCTACCTTGGCACTTCTCAGTACACTTCTTTATTGCAGCTGTGGACTTACACATGCGGCTGCAGCTTTTCAGCGGATGCAGAGCAGATGTGCATATTATTAGCGAACTGCCGCGAATTTCTTGGTTCTGCCGTAAAAGTGATTCAGATGTTAAACATTAGTTCCACATGACTTTTCTGCCAGGTGACTTGCGCCCCACCTGTCACAACTCTGCGCCCCGCCACACACAAACAAAGCCACTGACATCTGTCAGTCTGGAAAGAGTCGCAAAGCCACCTTTTAGGCTTTGGGACTCCAGTAAACTCCGATGAGAGCCATTATCCCCAAATGGAGAAAACTTGGAACAGTGGTGAACCTTCCCAGGAGTGGCCGATCTACCAAAATTACTCCAAGAGCATATCGACAACTCATCCAGGAGGTCACAAAAGATCCCAGAGTTCATGATTCAACAATAACAAAGAGACTGGGCAAAAGTGGCATCCGTGGGAGAATTCCAAGGTGAAAACCATCGCTGAGCAAAGACAACACAAAGGCTCGTCTCCAAAGAACATCCTGACTATCCCCAGAACCTTTTGGAAAATATTCTGTTGACTGACGAGACTAATGTTAATGTTTCTGGAAGGTGTGAGCCCCGTTATATCTTCTGTAAAACTAACACAGCATTTCATAAAAACAACATCATACCATCTGGTCTGAGGCTTTTTGCTGCTTCAGCATTTGGACGACTTGTCATAATTGATGGAAGCATAAATTCTGCTGTACCAAAAAATCCTAAAGGTCAATGTCCAGCCATCAAATTGATGCCCTGAGGTTCGACTGCACTTCGGTTTGGTTCAGAAAACTAAAAAATAAAGGTGGTTGAGTGGACTAGTCCTTTGGCATGATCTTAAACAGCCTGAAAACTGTCCAACATGGCTGAATCATAACAATTCTGGAAAAATGTTTGGGCCAGAATTCCTCCACAGCAATATTAAAGACTGTGAAATGTGAACCTAACCATAAGTCCACCAATTTAGCTGCACCATATGGCCATAATTTGTGTGGAAGAAACCCTGGTTTAGAGATCAAAGGAAAGAGATGTCATCAAGCTGCAGAAAACACTATTTCCTGAAAAAGGTGCTTTCCATGGCAAAGGTTTATCCTGTTAAACAGTTTGACAAAAATGTTCCATTCAAAAACGCTTTAAGCATTAATAATAATCTAAGTCAAAGTCTGTTTAGGTTTGTCAGCACTAACAGTACAAAGACGTCCTTTTGAGCGCTCTACCTTTGTGCAGTCTTAAAAATCACTCTCAGTTGTTATACAAATAATTGACTTGTAATTTATAATGCCACCACAAGATGGTGTACACTAGTAATAACAATGGAAGTATGTGTAATTTGTTCAGAAGCCTGATTTCAGGACATTTACTTGTGTCTACACAGCTGTGGCTGTTTTGGACACACTGTTGTTTAACTAGCCAGATGGCAGCTAGAGGCATTAAAGCTGCTTCAGTCTGCTTTACCTCTCACGTATATCAACACACATATAACATACAGTACACACACTTAAGCTTTACAACAAAGGTTAGTCGCCTCTTTCTCCAAGCAGCTTTCATTAGTCCCTTAAAATGATTTCTGTTTGTTTTCACTGTTTAATCTGTAAGGATTCAGTGATTTACTTCAGAGGAAGTCAGTGAAGCAGCTACACGAGCAGCAGGAGTGTGTGTGGCTCTGTCATCCATAACAGAGAGCGCAGCTTATTTGGCCCTATATGAGTAGAAGCTGGCAAAACAGGGGCGGTTTATTTAAGCAGTAATGACCCAATCCATAACGGAGACTGTTAGGGTTCCCTGTGAGCACCAAAGTTTGTTGTAGCTTAATGAGAGAATAAACTGTATTTGTCAGACCAGAGAGGATCATTAATCAATACTGCGGGTTCAGAAGGGAGTGGAAAGTGTTTTCTTTATTAGTGGTATTAAAGAGAACGTGAGCTATAGTTTCGGCACTAATGGTTCGTGGCTATAAAAGATTGTATTTAGTCTCTATTTCAAGGCTTCTTCTTTAGACTGCAACTGAGTGTTGCAGCACGGTCGATCTAATGTGAGCGCTCTGTACATTTTACAGTTTATTGAAGGTAGCGAGAGGTGCTTGTGTCCTGCTCTCTCGTATTGGAACGATGCTGCATCTTTTTATTGATCGGTGAATCGTGATGGACCCTGATCACAGAGCATTTTCTTTAGCGCTATCGGAAAAACATGGTTGCTGTAGCTGCATTATTGCAGCTAATACTTAATGCTGTTACTTTACTAGTTTGCACAATTTACCATGTTAAGCATGAAAATATGGAGACTCTTTTCATCCATGCAAATGTACAACCTGCTGTGAGTTTAGATTAGTTTTGAGGTTGAACGTGCGTCATCAGGCAGCAGATGCAGCAGCACCAAAGACAGCAGAGGTGCACATTCTGGACAGATGAAGATTGTGGGGAATTAAAATTAGTTTAGCTGAGGACGAGACACGCATTCATAACAGCAGCTACACTCTGTTGTCATGGGATGATAATTTGTGTACTGCGGCAGAGACACGTCCAGCAGTCTGAATGAGATCCCAGCGGTCGGTGGCTCGAGCGCTCGTGAAAAAAACACAACAATAAACAGCAACCAAGAAAATACATATCAGTGCCCCAAATACATGTAAAGAAATTCAAATATACAGCGACAGGAAATCATAAATCTATTCCAATATCCTCAATAAACAGACTGAAAATGTCATTTTACTTTTTCAGTGCCGCGGTTGTTTTCTGTAGTTATATTTGTACCACGCAATCATGAATTTTCTTGTGAGTTTTGTATCTATTTTCTTCCACTTATACTCTCACAGCACTTCCCTGCTTCAAGCTGAAGTATAGATTGAGTCAGTGCAGCTGAAACAAACTGCTGATGTCCGTGAATTCAGTTCAGACGTCGGCTGATACAAAGATAAAGAAGAGAGATCATACCCCAAACAAGATGCTAATCTAGCACGCTGACTTGTGGCAATGTTTCTTATGGAAGTTAGCGGTGTAACACAGAGCCTGTGCCACAGGAATGTTTCACTCTTTGGATTATTACAGCCATGCTCAGGTTTTCCAGTTTCTCTTGCTCTTTCTAAATCAATTGATGCTTGTTTCTGTGGTGTAATGTCAGCCATTCTCATTAAAGTAATAGAGATGACTTTTTTCACACAAGAAAATATCTTTTGTATCCACTCAGCTCCACTAGCACCACATGGGGATAATTTCTTCAGGTTTTCCAGCCAGCTCCATAGCTAATCAGTGGCTCTGTCTAGACCCTTAAGGATGGCATAGATAATATGCTTTGTTCTCGCTGGTGTAACAGACTCTAGTCTCTCATTAATTGCTTCAAAACAAACTCACAAACAGCATTTGCCCAGGAGGTTTAATCCATCACTGCAAAACTGAAGCAGAAAATAAATTTATCAGACTTTCTTGCTCGCTGCCTGAAGTCCCGTTTTGTTTAGTGTCTGCTTGCAGAAAAGCATGACACTGCACTGTTAAAAGAGCTGAGTTTACAAATACTCCGCTTAAACCACTGGAGCCGTCTTTGAGGGTACTTCCTATGTCTAATATGCACTTTAATGTCGGCCTTAAGATTGTTGCAGTTTGTTTTTTTTAGCCTCCTGGGTTTTTTTTCTTCTCTTTTTTTAATCGTCA